CCCCCAAAAAAAAAAGAAGAAATCCCCTGATGTCATATAAGGAATGAAACTAAAGTCAAATACATAGTCTGGGAATATTTCATTGCCAACGAAATGTATTTATTTCACTTTGTTTCCAGACAACAGAACAAACAGACACAGAACGCTTTATGAGCCAGTTGTGTGTTACACGTAAATGTGTGTGTACTTATGTCCACAAATGACTAAATAACTGTGTCCATGTGTGCATGAATACGTATTTAACAGAATTCCACACTAAACAAAACGAGAGAAAGTGGCATTAAACAGTTTTCAGTGGTTCCAATAGGTCCCGCACCACATTTATTGCTGTTACCCACCTTCAATCTCCTCATTGTTGTACTGCATGTGCAGCTGGTGCAGACCAGTCTCGGTGGGCTGATACCTGACGGTCACAGTGCCATCCTTGTTGTCCTCGATGTTCGGGTAGGCCCGCTTGCCCGACGGCATCACAACAGTCGCTGAAACAGACAGGCAGGAATGAAACACACTTGAAAACTCACACACATACATACATACATACATACATACACACACACATACACACACACTCACACATACATACATACATACATACATACATACATAACACGGGATCAAAACATTTGCATAGACACATACACATTTATACAGGAGTGATCGCACAGACTCACTCTATAACAAAACATTTACGGTCAAGAACAAAAAAGGAATTAAAAAACCCACAAACACAGAAATAAAGCCAACACTCTTAAAAAAACAAAGTCACGGTACATCAACATTAATTATCATCAAAACATACACCGAAACGGAACAGTAATTTACGTTAGGCACATATAATATAACCTGGCAATAGCCAAAAGAGAAAGAAAAAATGTAGATATTTTGTGGCCACACAGAAAAGGACAAAAGAGGCGCCGACATATGGAAACAAGTGTTATACATCTCCAGAATGCCCAGCTCTATGTCATGGAATGGCAAACAAACTCAAATTAATGTAAACTCCGTTTATAGCATGGTCTACACAACTTCCTATACTGAGAAAAAAATTTAGGAAATCTTCTAATAGCTTGCAAGAGTAAATGCATGCTGGTTTTTATAAAACCATAAAGTGTCAAAAAGATACAAAGTGTCTAAACGATGTGAGCTGTCTGGAATTCCTGCTACTCATTTTAAAAATGAACTTCTATAAATGCTCTGTACTCCTTAAACTCCAGGATTATGTTCCTTTAAACAATGTCACAAACATGTTTTAAGGTACATGTGTACAAAGAAAAAAGTTTAAGGGACATCACCAGCTCACACACAAAACAGGCGTGCTGCCTGCTCAATTGAATTCATGCAGGGCTGTGATGCAGATGACCCTGGGACATTTTAAAACTTGACTTGTTTGAGAAGTGTTCAACTTAGTCCTTTGGTCAATGCATGTTTAACATGGATGTTCCACCTCTTAAACAAACATTTGAATTGAAGAGGGCATAAAACCCATACCACACCTTATAGACACAAAGCACACAAACACACACACAGACAATTTGTTTATGTACTTCCTTACCTAAGACAAATTTGATAATGGGCCCAACAGGAAGAGTGAAATCAATAGACACAAAACACACATACACACACACACACACACTCACACACACACACAAATGCACACACACACACACGCACACATACACACACAAACACACACAGAGATACACACACTCAAAGGGATGATATGATGAAATGTCTACTACCCTACTTGAGACAAAGTTGTAGATGGGCCCGACAGGTAGAGTGAGATCAACAGGCTGGAGCACACAAATTGCCCCACACACAAACACACACACACAAATACGCACACACACAGACACAAACACTCAGATCCTCACACACACACACACACACACAGATACACACACATGAATGATATGATGAAATGTCTACCCTACCTGAGAAAAAGTTAAAGATGGGCCCGACAGGAAGAGTGAAATTGTCACACACACACACACACACACACACACACACACAGATACACACACATGAATGATATTATGATATGTCTACTACCCTACCTGAGACAAAGTTGAAGATGGGCCCGACAGGAAGAGTGAAATCAACAGGCTGGAACAGCCCAGAGCCTGGTGCAGTGGCTTGTACACTGTCGACCTTGTCAGCAGTAATCAGGTCCTCACCAACCTGAAGAGAGAGAGAGACAGTTTTAGTTTTAGTAAGAGTTTTAAAGCACTTGCAACACAAACAGGTCATATAAATGCCGAAGATTAGAGGTGTAACTAGAGAGTAACATACAAAAAAAGAAGGAGGAAAGATAGGATGATAGATGTTTGATTGGAAAGGAGCAAAACAACACCAAACAATCCACCAACCAGTCACAGAAACACAAACACACACATACACAATGCTATATGAGAACATTTTGTTCCATTACCTGTAAGATAAAAAGTCACCATAGAAAAAAATGCTGACTAAAAGGACTACTGTTTGACATCACTAACAGAGATCACTTGAAAAGACTTCTTAATATTAGGCACTTAATGATCCTCCTCCTTCTATTTCTCATCCTCAAGCCATTATTTAGGTGGTCATCACCCTAACCCCCCCCCCCCCAAAGCCACCAAAAGCCGTCTTGCTGATCACTATTATTATTATCATGACCAGTGTATCAGTTTTTAGGAAGGTCTATTTCAACAATGAACAACATGAAACAATAAACAGTACTCCGAAAGATCTTGAAAGCGGGTTTACATAATATTTAAAAAACACCAAGCTGGTCAATTGGTTGTTCTTATTGTGCAACTGAAACACCATGCTCACATCAGATTTAGCAGGCAAATTGGGACAAGGTTCATTGGCAATAGGAATTGTTAAAAGCAGAAAGAAAAAAAATGCACAAATAAATAAAACCTGCTTAAATTCTTTGGAGTCGAATGATTCAGCGTTTGCTTAATGAAATAATATTACTCCTTTTCCTCCTTTGCTGATGTAGAATGCACAATACATAGAGCTTGCTGTTGAGCGGGAATTCGCTATACAACTCCGATTCATTAATTTTTATTCCTTGCTTTCCTTCCCCACTGTAAAAAAAAGACGTTCGTTCTCCATGTGCACCTGTTTCCTTTTAAGTTGCAATCTCTTCGTTACGTAAGTCGTACGTTGAAAACGAAGGAAGAACCACTTGTGATGTAATTATGTTGAGGGCAACTACCCATTCCCGCTTAATTGTCTTTGATTACATGACCATTTCCTGTAGGCCTGTCTAGTCGTCTTTCAGTGCTCTTAAGGCGAGAGGAAGCTGTACAGTTGTTTGTATTTCAGTTCTCTCCCCCCCTCCCCTCTCTCTGTCCCTCT